ATTCAAAAAATATATAGCTCACTAATTTCTGAATGCTGATTGGTTAGCTATATTTGCTTTAAGAAGTTAGCTGTCCACATTTTGTACATGTTAATTTTGTACCAACAGAGAATACAAATGTTAGGCTAGGCAAAGTAAGGCAAGGAAAGTCTCATACAATACTTGCCCAAAGGGATCGTAAAGTAGACTATGCAAGTGCAACTTGACCTTTCTTACCTGTTGTAAATGTTATGGCGACCATAGATAATGTCCACAGTTTGATCAGGGTACACGGGCTTAAAGTAGATGATGCGTGAAGGTAATGCATAATATTCGCAGGCGTGAGAATCAGAGCATAGGCGCTCTGAAGATAAGGCGACTGTACGTGCTACTAAAGACTTGAAAAATAGTACTTGGAATAACAGTACGCTGGAGCTGGAACCGAGTGAAATCGCTCAACCAGAAAAATTAGAAACGGATCTACGGGCCCATGAGGCAGATCCGGATAGGAGATTAGTCGAGTAAGATACTAGAAAGGGAGGAGAGCAAGGCAAACAGCAGGTGTGATGACGCCACGCTAAATTCGCCAAAAGGTCACATCTCTTGTGGAATATAAAAATGTGAGAATTTGTGATAGGATGAGGGCGAGACTAGGGGCATGAAATGGATAGATGGACCAGGACAGAACGAGGAGTGATAGCATAACCATCTCGAGAGAAAGTTGGTCAAGGGATTGACTTCACTTGTATTTATAACGAGGTGTAGCTTGGTTGCTGATGCCAACTACGATGCCGGTGAAACGTCTGGTAATCTACCAAATTGACGGTCCGACTCTGGAGATTATCATGCATACTATGGACTCCGGACAAGGTGCGCTCATCTAGGTCTTTCTGTTAATATGACTAAGTTAAGAAAACAAGATCAATCAAATTCTATACAACGAAAGGAGGCCGCGACCATACAAAGTGCCACACCATCCTGGTCTTCATACCTCTGATTTAGATGTTTAGCAGCGGGATAGAATGTAGGTTAGAAGCCCTGCAAATTCCGCCTACTACCGGTGATGGAGATGATTAAGCTTCCATAAACCCACCTGTAGTGACACACTCTTAGGCGACATTGGAAAAGACGAGAGCACAGAATAAGTGAATGCTCCATATGAAGTAGGATTGAGAGAGATGCGGCACTAGGTAGAACAAAAAATAGGGGAGTGGAGTAATGCCACAGCTGTTGAATAGAAAATTGGTCAAGAGGATTGCCTTCACTTGTCTCTAATAAGTTGTAATTCTGTGCTTACGATGCTGCCTCTCACTGATGATGAGGCCGAAACGTTTGGGAATGTACCCAGCCAATAGTCCAGTGCTGGAAATCACGAATACTATGACAGAGGACACGGAACTAGGAACGTTTCACAAGGTCTCCCTGACGCGCCGACCAAGTTGCGAAAACAAGGTATAAACAACAACTCTGCGGTGTCTGATACACACAACGCACACGTATCCACTAAGCTAAAACAAACCCTAGTATGACAGGATCATACGCTTGTTTATTTACATAGACAAGAGTTGTGAAGACATTCGCTCCCCTTCAAGCATCACTTTCACTTGCTTAAATGCATGTAAGAAAAACAATAAACGGACAACCAAATCATAAAATTCAAAAATAAGATCACAAAGTAAGACATGAGAAGTCAGCAGGCTTCCAGCCGGTAACTGTTTCAGATTGAGTGTTTTTGGTGATTGTTTGTAAATAATGGTCTTAGGACCTGACGATGTCCTCAGCGAGGATTCATCGGGGTCGCAAGGCTGTGCACGAAGAACATATTTGCAGCTCCAAGCATTCTCCCCATAGCTGCCAAATCAGTTAGAATATTTTCCAGCGTCTCTTGTCCCTTGGCTCTTTGATGAGTGGTAGCTTGGTGATAAGAATGAAACAAATCACTGGCGGTGCCGGCGAAAAGCCTGGGAATGTACCAAATACACGGTCCAACGCTGGCAATTTTCATAGCTAGTATAGCAGAGAGCCGCGGACAAGGTTCGATAAACTAAGTCACATAGATAACACAATTAGGTTGCGAAAACGAGGTTAGACAACTTCTATTCTCACTAAACTAACAATTCAGATTAAAGGTAGATAATACTTATAATGCATCCTTTCTATGAGAAATCAAATTGACAAAAAAAAATAAAAAAATAGTGGCCAATGTAACAATATGTGATTTCCCGGATTTGTTCTTAAATATACCT